GAGGGACAGAGAGAGGGAGGGAGGGAGGGAGACACGTTTGGTGTTGGTCAAGATTTATGGAAACCACCGAAATCTGGGTTAGCCCGCTTGTCCTTAAAAGCGACCTTTTAACATTATAATGACAGTGTGCAAGAGGAACACCTGTGTAAGACGACCACTGTTCTCCTCGTCAATGGGTGCTTGTCTTGAGCAGGTTCAACTGTTTAATGTTTGACGTCCGCAGGAGATAAAATCTCCAGTCCTCTCAACTCAGTCAACTTCCTGTCCAACCTCCCGCAGAGACTGAAGTCAAAGTTTACGGCTCGCACGGTTGCCGACTGCTTTAACCCTGCAGGTGAGTCTCCTTAGTTTTAGTTCTAGTAGAGGTTTGACGGCGCTCGCAACTGCATAAGGTCAAAGGAGCGCCAAGGGATGGATGTCAACAGAGAAATCCATACAGGGAATCAGACTTACTCTGCACACCTCTCTAGCTTCAATAGCACAAAGTCTGCTTGGACTATCAAGGCACCCCGGAAATAGCAGTTCACAAGAGAGTGACAAACATACAAAAGAAGTAGAGGAAAATGACGATAGTAAGGATGAGAAAAGAAAAAGTAGCAGTTCCCCTTATGTTGTTCCGACACTGTTATGATCATGACATTGAGAAATCAGCCCATTTACAATTCTACTGTGCATAAGAACATGTTAACATCCCCCATTTTGAAATGGCCTAAAGACAGTGAGTCTCCTGTCCCGGACAGATGTTAGCCGGAGAGGTGGTTGGTGGGTGCCTTGGTGTGGTTTGCTGTTTCTTTTCTACCAAACATCTATCGTCTTTTTATTTCCCCTACTTCTTTTTTGTGTATGTCACTCTCTTGTAACACATAATCTCTTCTTCGGCACTTATATGACCTTATTGTGTTGCAAGTGCCGTAAAACCTCTGCTAAAACTAAACTCAAATCTTCGACACTTATATGATGACCTAATTGTGTTGCAAGTGCTGTAAAACTTTAACTAAAATTTTGTTTATATAATGTATCCCCCTCCCCCGTAGGTGGTTGGCGGGTGCTCTGGTGTGGTTTGCTCCTTCTTTCCTATCAGACGTCTTCTTTTTTTGTGTTTGTTACTCTCTTGTAACACCTCTAATTTCCGGCACTTATATGATGACCTAATTATGTTGCGAGTGCTGTAATAATAATAATAAATGACATTTATATAGCACTCAAGCCTGATTAAAGTACACAGGCTCTGAGCGCTTTACAATACAGTACAACGTACAACAGGAACATAAAACGTTGCGTTCTGACTAAAAGAAAATTACTCCAAATATATATTCATCTTATTCATTTAAAAACAGTAACGTAAAACTTTAAAACGTTTACTAAAACTTTTTCTCAAAAACCATGTATCTCCCCCCCACCCCCTCCCCCCGATTAAAGTACACAGGCTCTGAGCGCTTTACAATACAGTACAACGTACAACAGGAACATAAAACGTTGCGTTCTGACTAAAAGAAAATTACTCCAAATATATATTCATCTTATTCATTTAAAAACAGTAACGTAAAACTTTAAAACGTTTACTAAAACTTTTTCTCAAAAACCATGTATCTCCCCCCCACCCCCTCCCCCCGATTAAAGTACACAGGCTCTGAGCGCTTTACAATACAGTACAACGTACAACAGTAACATAAAACGTTGCGTTCTGACTAAAAGAAAATTACTCTAAATATATATTCATCTTATTAATTTAAAAACAGAAACGTAAAACTGTAAAACGTTTACTTAAAATTTTTTTAAAGC